TAAAGATAGCATATCTGACCAGAGTCGCTCGATTCTGCCGGCTTGTTGATTCAAATGCCGCATTGAACCATGCCAAAGACTGTTTTGGTTCATCATTGACGTAGATATTCCGCGATTGTACACCTCCGAAAACCTCCCTGACTTGTCGCTCGTCTGCTGCATTCTGGACTGCGTGCCCAATCTGACAAGTCCAAGAGGTCATGAGGGCTGGCGAGACTCTCGACTTGACATTGTCGGCCACCGCAGCGATGTCGTTGATCGTAAAGGTGTCGTTAACAAGTTCGGCGACGACTCTCACACGAGTACTATGCTCCGTACCGTCACTATCGTCACTATAGTCACTGCAGTCGCTGTCTTCATCATAATCGTCGCCAGTGCCGAGGACGTAGTGGTAACTTTGTGACTTGTCGCTCGGTTGATACTGGATTCTGGCAATCTCAATAATCAACTCTGCAAGTTCGTAGTGGCCTCGGAAGGCCGCTATTGAGAATGGACTGAAACCATGAAGATCCGTGATAGCCACCTGTATTGGGTCGGCGCTCGTTAGACAAAGCGATTTGACAGTATCAGAGTCGCCCTTCCAAACAGCTTCGAATAGGTTGATGTACTTGGCCTTCTTCTCCGAAGTTAGATCTGGCACTTGGAAAGATATCTTCGTCTCGTACGGATCTTTGTTGAGATTCTTCGATCCGAAATAGTAGTTGGGCTTGTTTTCTTGACTACTTTCCTTCGGATGTAGCTCCGCAAACGTTTTAGCACCTTTCTTGAGAAGCCTCCGTTCAAGATCACGCAACTTCGCAACGGTTCTGCTGACGGCCGCATCCTTCTCCTTCCTCCCAGCCTCCGGCTTTGGCTTCTTGGCTTGGAGTTCTTTCTCATATTCCCTCATTTGATACTGCCGGATCGATTTGGCATTCTGGAGGTCGATAAAAGCAGTCCAATAACAGTAAGAACCTTTGTCGAAGCTGCGGAGGTATTCGGCGTCTTCCTTCAGTGCCTCTGGCTGCTTCAAATCTTTGACTTGGGGAGACAGGTATTCCTCAAGTGATGAGATACGGTCTCGCACGAGGTCCAATAAGGACTTTGGTGTTGGGCCCCAGGAGCGATACGAAGTTTCCAGATATTGATGTGCGCCAGTAGTTAGAGTATTGACGTCCTCACCCTTCTCGATGAGTTGAATGACGAAATCCACCAATTCGTGGATGACACCTACAACGATTGGCTGTTGGACACATTTTTTAAAGACTTTCTCGACTTGTTGGGGATCATTCGAGGTTCTGTCAAAGCTGCGCTTATATGCTTGCGCAAAGAGCTCGAAGTCAATATGGGTATTGGCTCCCATGCGTAGAAGATCCTCAACAAGTTCCGGTTCGGCAGTGCGAATGGCGGTCAGCAGAGGCGTATCGACCGTCGGCTGAGTCCAGTAACCGGACATGGCTATGAAATTGACAGCTTTGGCAAAGCTTGATGGATCAGCGGAGCGCATTGTCTGCACTATCAACGCCTTTCCAGTCTCGATCGCATAGTGAAGGGCAGAAATGTGATTCATATCGCTGTCAACATCTGTCAGCCTGTACCAACGGTCACGGAACATAAGATACCACAGATCTGCTGTTGAAGAACCAGGCCTTGTGTGGAGGGGGAGACTCACGCCTGCGTGGATGACGCCCCCAGGGCAAGAAGACCTTCGACGGTTTCATTGGCCTGTTGCAACGGGAGCTCCAAGGCCAGAGTGGTGGTCAGAATAGCAGCCCTAGCGTGCTTTCGATTGTATTCATCCACAATCTTGACTGGAAGGAGGACATCGGCGCCGTAACTATCAACCAAAACTTTCACGACATCCAGGTGGCCCCCGAGGATGGCAAGATGGAGAGGAGACATAGGACTATCCCAAGCCAAGACATCGACATCGTAGACATCGGGACCCTCTTTGTCTTCGGGATCTTGGACTTCGAGATTGCCTTCCACTTTCACAAAAGACCCTTCGGTCATGGCATCATCACCTTCGTCGTCGTCGCCATCTGCATCCTCGAAGTCTTCAGAGCCGAGGGAGTCACTGTCGCTGATCTCGTCCTTGATATTCTTAGCTTCTTGCGAATTGTTGGCAGCAGCTCTTCGTGCTTCTTTTCGCGCTTCTTCCTTGACCGCTTCCTGTTCCTCGTTTGCGTTACTTTTGTCGAGGATGTCTCTCACCATCTGTACCTCGCCACGGTGGGCGGCAATGTGCAGAGCGGTCATACCGTTATAGAGTCTTGAAACAAGGCGGGCGCCATGTTCAATGAGACAATGAACGATCTCAGGGGTGGAACACATGACCGCAAGGTGTAGAGGCGTGCGACCAGCAGGATCCCGACGGTTAACGTCCACAACTTCCGGCTCAGAGAACCAGTCTCTGACAGCATCAATGTCCAGATCGACTATTGCTTGACACAGCCTGGCAGTGTTGCCGACATATGCCATTTCTGTCCAGTCGGTGTCTGTGATGGGATTAAAGCTGCCGATGGCCTGTCTGCCTGGGTCATCTTTGAGAAACGTAACATCTCCAGATATGTAGATCTTCCCTTCCTCCTCGAGCGCGGCAAAGTCTGCGTCGGTTGTAGGCTCGGGGCAATATCCGCAACAGTCATGAAGAACGTCGTTGACAGACCCAAAGAAGGCTGGATGGCGATGCAGTTTGGTCTCTCTGTCCTTGGGTTTGTTCCATTCAGCATTGAGGAGCAAGTCCTTGGTGAAGAGAAGCTTCTCAATTCTTTTGGCAGTGTATCTGGGGCCATATGGGATGGTAACAGTGTGGTAATTGGAAACTTCGTCCTCTTCTACCCACTCAGCGACGTCATCCGGTTGAGCATCTTTGACATTTCCTGGAAGCTCATGGCGAAATCGAGAATTCCACGACAATGGGGGCCTTCCTCGTTCGGCTCGACGTTTTGCGAGGTACGTGTCCCTGTCATTGGGATGTGGCAGCTTTTCGAGAACCAGCAGTCTCGCCAGGCCTTGCACCCTTGAGAAAGATCTCTCATAGATAGTAGGATCAATCCGTGTTCGGTCGATACCGGGGAACACCACCTCGAAGCCGCGATGGGAGTATTTGGACAGCCGATTTTCGTAAGAGGGGGATCTTCTAGTGAGATCAATTGTGTTCACTTGAGTCATAAATGCGGCCAGAGCTCGAGGCGAAGCCCATACTTGCTGACCATCATAAGCTACACAGGAACAGTCAACGTCAAAGCCGGTGAGAATCTCAGAAATGCTCTTATACAAGCGAAGCACGATCTGGACATGGCGGGTAGGATATTCCGACACAATTGTGATAGCATTTTTGGTGCGCTGCCTTACGGTTAGCAGACGAGAAGGTTTCGACATTTCTGAACCCTACGGAACGCTCAAGAACTTTGGGAAGAGAATTCAGGGCTCCTTACTATAGTCGTCGTCTCGGACAGGATGCTATCCCGAATTTTGGTCTCGATTTGTCTGATTTTCTCGATGGCTTGTTCCTCATTCAGCCCGTAGAGGAATAGATCGACATCAGAAGCAGGTGCAAGCGTCTCATGGTAGTAGGATCGAAGGGCTCGCTGAAAAGTCATGTCAACACGCGCGGATGGATTTCGGGTGGCTAGCGGCATACCTTAGACTCATTGTGGGGAGCGTCGACAGGTAGCAAAGAAGTGACGACAGCACTTCCTGCACATACCACATTACTCCAGTCTAGGTCCACCAACGAAGACTCGGAGAATAGGTTGAAGTTGGTCCTGAAGTCTTTCAGAGTTTGGGTGGTGGCAGGTGAACCGTCTTTCCTGCGAGCCTCCGGTTGGAGAGACAAGAGAAACTGGTCTTTCTCGGCATCAGACTCCTTTGCGAGATCTCTTGCTCGGATGGTGACAGGAGCATCCTTGAAGACAGGTACCAGATGGTTTGCGATTGCAGCTGGATGATCAGGTTGCTGGGCGTAGATCTCTCTCAGTTTACTTTCGTAAGCCTTGAAGGGCCTAATCGCCTCAGCAACGCCGATCTGGCTCCTGGGTCTCTTGTCGACATAGCTAACGAAGTCAGGGATGGGAACCGGGAGAGGAGGAAGCTCCAGAGCCATGGTGGCGGCGGTAGCTGATAGAGGAGAGGGTGGACCTGTATGAAGACAACCGTGGAAAATGGAAAAGGGGCCGCAAGCTGGATGAGCAGTCGAGACGAAGGCGGACAGATACAACTGTGGGACCAAGCTTTACGCAGAGAACTTGCAAAAGCGACAGAACGAGATGATACAGGATTGATGACTGGCATTCAACTCCATGAAGAAGGCGGGTGACGAGGAGGAGGAGGAGGAGGAGGAGGAGGAGGGATGGTCGTGGTCATATACTGGAAACTGAGAGCATTGGGGGAGTTCAATGGCGGGTCGAGAAGAGACCAACGCGTTGGTCCATGAATCCGACACCGCGAACCCACGTGAGATCAATCAGATTGGCGTAGGCAGCGGCAGCAGCCTGGCGAGCCTGCGCTGGTCTCACCTCTCCAGGCACCAGATCCGCCCCAACTTCCACGGGGCCTCTATTTCTTCTCGCTGAGCCGTCAAAGATTGTTCATCGCCCCTTGGCAATTCAAGAGACAAGATTTCAATCTCCAGAAGTGGAGATGAACCGTTTGGATGCCTAGATGCGCCTAACTGCGCCTAACTGCGCCTAGCATGCAGGCCACGAGACGAAGGCTGGGGAAGTACTTTGCCGTATCTTGGCGCAGTTTTTCCATACGGCAGATCAAAAGCTCACCAAGTGCACTTTGATATCGACAGAATTTTCGGTCATTGGACCAGGTCACACGAGTACATAATCTTGCACAGACAGAGATCAAGGCAGATGCTTACCATTTTGAGTGGAGCAAGACTTGCAAGTCGGAGTGTCGTACGACAAAGATTCCCACGAGTGCAGCCTGCTGAAAAGACTGCTACATTCCTCCGATCGAAGCCTCTATTTTCTACGGTGTCAACTCAAGACTCGTCCATTCTCGCAAAGATGGCCAACGACCACATCCTGACCCTGTCGTGTCCGGATAAGCCGGGTATAGTTCATGCTGTGACGGGGATCTTTGCGCGAAACAACCTCAACATTCTTGACCTGCAACAATTCAGCGACCGGACCTCGGAGAAATTCTTCATGAGAGTGCACTTTGGACCGGCTGATGATACAAAATCCCTGATTCCTTCGTTCGAGGAGCTGGCAAACGATATCAAGATGGACTACGAGCTGAGGCCTGTGGCTGAGAAGCCAAAGGTTTTGATCATGGTTTCCAAGATTGGCTACTGCTTGAACGACCTCCTTTTTCGCCAGAAGACTGTGAGACCCCTTTGTTGACAAAGACTGTTGCGTTGTGCTTCTGGTTGTGTCAATAGTCTGTCCAAGCCTAACAGAATATATATGCAGGGGCAATTGGCTATCGAGGTGCCGTTGATTGTATCGAACCACCAGGACTTCGAACCGCTGGCCAAAAGTTATAACATTGCTTTTCATCATCTGCCTGTCTCCAAGGACACCAAGGCCGAACAAGAAGACCGCATCCTGGAGCTTATCAAAGAACACAACATCGACTTGGTAGTTCTAGCGAGGTACATGCAAGTACTCTCTCCGAAGCTCTGTGAAGCTATGTCCGGCAAAATCATCAATATTCATCACAGCTTCTTACCTTCCTTCAAAGGTGCAAAGCCATACCACCAAGCTTTCGACAGGGGCGTCAAGATCATTGGCGCTACAGCTCATTTTGTGACCGCCGATCTAGACGAAGGCCCGATTATCGAGCAGAGGGTCACGAGAGTGGACCATAGCATGACGCCCAAGGAACTCGTTGACGAAGGGAGCAATGTGGAGAGTCAGGTTTTAGCTGCAGCGGTCAAGTGGTGGTCAGAAAAGCGAGTATTTTTGAACGGGCACAAAACGGTGGTATTCAACTGAGGTCCAGCGTCCGTTCCTCTTGAATTCCCTTCTAAGAACCTAGACGGCGGCGTTTCCAGCACACAGCACAGACACTGGGACGGCGACACAAACATATATATCGCCTGAGCTGTCCCCAGCACAGCCGCCAATTTTTTTTTTTATTTTTTTTCATCTACGGTAAGACGAAAAGTTGGAAGCATTGAATTGAATAAGACAGTTTGCCTCATGGCTCCTTGGATCACACACATCCCAGTCGGACTTGTCCACCATCATATACTTGCTTTTATCCATCGTATGCAAATTCTCCTCCACACCTGCTTCCGCATTTTTTCAATCGACATGCAGCAAGGCTAGCATCGGACAGGTCCATCCGTACCACAGAAAGTGACCACCATCTCCAGTCCAGCGCTACAGACCCACAAGGGTTTCTCGCCTTCGTGCGTCAACGTGGGGAACGGAGATGCCAGCTGCATGGGTCGGCGCAAGGGTGGATTCGTATCAAGGACATGTCCGTCCATGAAAGAATGCTTGCATGCTTCTTGGAACGGCACGACAGATAGTAGTCGATACGGTCGCCCCGCGGAGACAATGCGTTCCGAACATAAAGGCTGGCCTGTTGTGCTGTGGTGCGGCGGGAGGAGCCTATTCGACTTACTTTACAGCTCAGCTGGCCCAACATCACGGGGCATGTAACAAGCAAGACACCTGTTCCCTCTACAGCACAAGTGGTCAAGGACGGTGTCGCCGGTGATAGAGAAAGGGAGGGCAACAGCTCAGGTGGCGAAGGGAAAGGTTTCCAGACAACCAAGCGGTAACTTAAGGGCAACAAAGACAACGAGCGATATCAAGCACAGCAATGGCGAGAAAAGTGGCTTCGACCTTAACACACTCGGTGCTGCTCGTCTCCCTTCTAGCATTTACTCATGTCCACGCGCACACCCATTCCCATGATGATACTCCCGACGCCGCCTCGGAGACACCTCTCTCCTTCTCAGTCGGGCCCAACTACCCCTATCCCCTCGAGGACCTGGACAAAGACCTCCCCTTCTCTCAGCCCGTCACCTTTGCACACTTGCCGTGGGAGCGGTGTTTTTCCTCCCGCCACGCAACTGAATTGGACATTGCCATTGTAGGATTCCCCTACGACACGTCGACCTCGTACCGGCCCGGTGCACGCTTTGGGCCCCGAGGTATTCGCGCCGCAAGCTCCAGGGAGAAGAAGGGGAGGAGCTACAACACAGTCTGGGGCATTGACCCCTTGACGGAAGGAGGGTTGAACATTGTCGACTGCGGAGACATCCCAGTGACCCCCTTTGACGCCCAGCACGCGTTCCGCCAGATGGAGCAGGGCTACCGGCAGATCTTGTTTCACAACACGTCTACCACGGCCACGAAGGACGCCTCGTCAAATCCAACCCAGGGCAAAAGAACATGGCAACATCCCCGAATCCTCTCTCTGGGGGGCGACCACTCGATCGTCCTCCCGATCCTCCGCTCGCTCAAGGAGATCTACGGGCCCATCTCCGTCATCCACCTCGACTCCCACCTGGACACCTGGGACCCCTACGCGGGATACACGGGGATTGTCTCGGAACAGAGCGCCATCACCCACGGGACTTTCTTCTGGCACGCCGCCCGAGAAGGGTGCATCGCCAAGGGGAGCAGCGTGCACGGCGGGCTGCGGACGAAACTCTTCTCGCCCAAGGACTATGTCACGGACAGGGAGGTGGTGGGCTTTGAGCTGATCGAGGCGCACGAGATCGACGAAGACCCCAAGGGCATGCAAGGCATCACGGACCGGGTGCGCAGCATCGTCGGCACCGACAACCCCGTCTACCTCAGCATCGACATTGACGTGCTGGACCCCAGCATCGCCCCGGCCACGGGCACGCCCGAGTCAGGAGGCTGGACGACGCGCGAGGTCAAGAGATTCATCAAGGGCCTGGAAGGGGTGCGGCTGGTCGGCGCCGACGTCGTCGAGGTGAGCCCCCCATACGACACGGTTGCGGAGGTGACGAGCGTGGCCGCCAGCGATCTCCTGGTCGACATTCTAGCGTTGATGGTCAAGGATTCCCCGGGCAAGCCGCACAAAGCCCAGACAGGAGGACAAGAGGTAAAGGACGAGCTGTGAAACCCGTCCCAAGCTGCCCGTGTGACCCCGAAATACACTTCAAGTGTACAGAGCACGTATTCAGGACCTGCTCGATGGGATTATCATGACTTGCTCCGCCCGATCCGAATTGTTTGTTGGCAACGGGGGAAACCGTCGACGCTTGGCTGGATTGTATAGGCTGATCATCATATATGTAATCACCTTGGGGAATATATCAACTGCCTCCATTCTGGATACCACCTCCCATCAATGGCAAAGGTCGTTGGTTCGTTGGCCGTTTGGTTTCTGAATCCCTCATACCCGTCACGACCTGTCAATCTCTCCTTCTCCTTCTCCTCCTCCGCGCGCAACCCTGAGTACTCCCTGCCTGGTTCACTGTTCTTGAATCCTGTTCCTCGATGGTGTCCACCACGCCGGGGGTATCGTAGAGCTCATTCACATACCAATCACATTGAAAACCTCGAAATCTCCCAATCCCACCGTCAACAATAGACCATGGGCCCTTGTCCCAGACGACCGGAACACCAAAACATAACGCCGTTCGGTCTCATTCTCCATCAAATGACGACTGAGAATGCTTGTAAATATCGTAAATATCACCCAGTCCCGGGTAGCCCGTCACTGCTCTCCAAAGTGAGAGAGGGTTGGCACGATTTCCACCTCTTAGACTCGTTCGCTTCACCTTGGGACGGATGCGCAGTTCATTCAATGCCCAACGCTGCGTACCGCAGTCCTTATCATTGATGGTGTGTGTCAGCCATGCGAACCTTGTATATTGTTGGCGTCTGGCACTTCACTCTTTTCAGACTCATAATGTTTGTTCCTTTCCAACGGTCTTATTCTCTGCTGGTCCTGATTTCGATGTGATTATGTCTGCTACACACGAATAGCCAGACAGTCAGCAAGAACAGAATCTAGACCACTTCTGTCCTGAGGCCCAGCACCTTCCCAGCCATAGTTGTCGGTGTTGTCAACATCCATACCATCCTCGGCTGGATCAATGTGCCCATTCGCTGTTGTCGATGCTGCCGCCGCGTTGGCCTCTTCCTCTTGCTCCATGAGCCATTGATCATGATCATATCCTGCTGAAGCATTGCTCACGCTAAATCCAATACAAGGCATCGCATTCCAAGGCACCGGGCCAACCTGGGTAGTTAGTTGCAGGTCTGCTATGCCGATTGGGCGTCTTGCATATGCAACCTGCGCTTCAGTCGGCAATAGGTCGTCGTCACGAGTCCGGTTGAGCTTCCCAGCCTTGACTTCCTCTTCCTCCCGATCGATTTTCTTCTTGTAGGAGCTCGTCAAGATTCCTCCACCTGCGCTGTGCTCGTACCTTGGACCATTGGACCGTGTTCGATTCACGACTTCGGCCAGTAGGGTTTTGAGATATGTCTCGGCGGCTATCCCCACCAGCTCAGCGCATTGTATTGAGCAACCTTGCGCGACGGACTCTTCATAACAAATGGGAACGATCCGAGAATGTATCGTCGGTGTGTCGGGAAACTCAAGAGTTTCTGAGAAGAGTGGCTGCACGTATCTTTTCCTGATTTCCAAGTCCCAATTTGTCTTGGTCAGTCCTCCTGCGGCTGCACTTGGGGCAGTCTCTGGTGCCTTGATTCTGCCGGCAAGGTACAGCTCTTCATATGGGTTCCGTCGAGCCGCCGCCTCTTCGTCGGCCTTCTCATTTGCTGCTCCTTTGATGCGTCGTCGGTCTCGTGCGGGTAGGGCCATCACTTCGGCCTTGAGTCGCTGTTCGCTCGCATCGCTGATGGCTGTGGCTTTGGTGCCGGACGTCAGTGCGGATTTGTCTGTCGTTGCGCTGACCCATGCTGCCAGTCCAGGTTCAGGGGGATCTCTGCCGGTGTTACATAGTATGGCTAATATTAAAGAGTTGTGCGCATGTTCGGTCTGAGGAGTCGCATAGATGAAGACATCGCAGAGGTCGCCGAATTCTCGTGCGTTCAGTTCCCCTGCAGATAGTGGTCAACCTCTGTGTTCAATTTATTGAGGCTACAGCGCCTGGAAGCGCAGCTTACCTCGTATAAACCTGGTTATAGCGTCGAAATATGTATCCCAGTTGTGACCGATCAAGGACTTGAGTTCAGTATACAAAGGTTCCAAGTCCACCCGAGGATAGCTTTGAGCCGCTTTCGGTTGTTTCGACGCCGACCCGGGAGGAGGCTTCGTGGTGGTCGTTGTAGACGTGATCGTATCTGATCGTGTGAGAGCGGCGGGGTTGAATGTCTCGTCGAATGTAGCCATGCTGGCTGGGCCCGAGGACCGATGGGAGATGATTCAAGGTGCGCGCATGCGCAGCGCGGTATTGAGCAAGACTGTGTTCATGCAGGGGGCCAGCGCATTGCGCGTTTCGACATGGCTACTCTGATGTTGTGGCGGGAAGTTGTGGGAGTTGGTCAGAGTCCTGTCATTCGAGTCGCAGTTGGATGGTGTGGGTGAGGGAAAGTTTGCGGAGCCCTGACATTGTTAGGCTTGTGGTTGAACCAAACACCATCCCCGGATATGGAGGGTCGAACACGGCGCACCGATGGAACGTCCGGTCTAGGTTGCTACAATTCTGGTAGACAGAGCGTTTGGGGACAAGTACATGCTACTCATGCCAATCATTTCGCTACGTGATCCTCAACAGAGTGTAATGTTGTCCGCAGCCTCGTCCTCACTGCATCAGGCTGTCTCGACCAGGAGACTCAACCAGTCCTTCATCAACTCGTAACGCCATGTGCCTCGTAACGTCTATGCATCCATCTATGCGATCTTGATCTTCCACTTCTTGACTGTGGCATCTGCCCCAGTGCTGTACACAGTGTCTCCGAGCCAGAGAAGGCCATTGACCCCTTCCTTATGCGCATTCGTCTCCTTCACCCTCTTCCCAGGTTCCTTCAAACTCCAAGCAAATATATTGGTGTCCAAGCTGCCAGAAGCTGCTCCTGTACCTTCTGGATTCCATGCGATGCAGGTGATCTTTGCCGTATGAGCGCTCCACCGATCGGTCACAAGCTCGAGCGAGCAATTCCCAGTCACCATCCCCGTGATGCCAGTGCTAATCTTGTACACATGGATTTTTCCTGCAGCAGAACCGACTGCCACCATCGAGCCATCATTGGAAAAGGATATGGCCGTTAGCGGGTGAGCAGAGACTTGTTCGATGAACGCAATCTGCTTGGGCGCTTTTCCTGGCACAACGGAGAATAGGCGAAGACTTGAATCCTGGGAACCGATCGCGACAGTGCTACCGTGAGATGCGAGAGATGTCGGCGTTGATTTCAAGGGCAACTCCCCATCTTCTTCTCCATCATTGTAGACAATCACGCTTTCGAGTTGAGCTACCACGACCAGAGAGTCCGTGGTGCACGTTATAGCTTTTGGTTGTGATGATAGTTTGGTGGACTGCCCTGTGAATGTTTTGGCTCCGGCGTCAACTGTTTTCAGAGTATCATCCCAACTAACCGAAAAGACTTGAAGATGCTTCCCTGAAGGCGCAGCAGCAAGTCCAGAGATGATGTTGGTTGGTCCATCCCCTTCGATGGTCTCCGCTGTCCCAGTTGCAGCATCCCACGAGCACAGTCGTCCCTCGGAACTGCCCGTCCACAGCGTAGCACTCTTCGCTTCACCGGAAGATGTGAGGGCGGTAATGTTCTTCTGATGACCCGAAATGACTTTGGAAGGCTTGCTTGACCCGCTGTTCAGATAGTTGAGTTCTCCGCTCAGGGACAGGGATATAATCAATCCGTCTGACCTGCCTGCTGGCCATACGACGCCAACTTGCTGATCTGCAACCGCCATAGCATCGCCAAAAGACCAGGTATGAGTGACTTTCCCAGCTTCCACATCCCATGTCTTGACTGTGCGGTCACCGGAACAAGTCACAAAGTTCTTCGAATCTTTGGACCACGAGACTCCGAAAATACTGCCTTTGTGGCCTTCCGCGCCGTCCGCGATCTCAGTCTTCACGTCCCCAGTTTTGCCGTCATATAGATAGATCTTCTTATCTCCGCCAACACTGAGCAAGTGGTTGCCATCCGGCGAGAAAGCGACTCCGTAAATGAAGTTCGTATGGTTTCCTCGACCAGGGATGCCGTTGAATTTGAACGGAGCCCCATGATAGAAGACCAAGTTCTTGTCATCACCTCCTGTAGCCGCCCTCAGGGGTCTTTGTTGTCTTATGCTGACGGCATTGACCTGTGCAGAGTGGCCGCTGATCTCTCCCACCGTGTTGCCTGAATCCGCCGTCACGCAGTGTCCATAGCGTTGTTTCCCATCGCCTACTGCTATGATACGCTGACTGTCACCATCCCACGCAATATCATTGATACGGCCTGATATAATGGCATATTCTCCTTTTGTCGCTCCCGATCCATTGGGTGAGCAGTCCCAAACCCGTACAATGCCCGAAGCGTCACCAGAGGCACAATAGAACCCGGAAGGCGCAAATCTGGCAACGGTGGTCGTAGTCGTGTGCTGGGTGTACTGAGTGGATATGGCAGGATTATCGATGGATCGAAGAAATATGGACTTGTTGGCAGCGTAGGCAATTCGCTCGCCCTTGGAGTCAGCACTTAGAGGGGTAGGCAAGCCTCGAGATGTGGAGGGAAGTGCGGCATAGATGCCGTCGGCGATTATGGACATCTTCTTTCATGAAGGGGTATGGCAGAAGTGACAGCGACCACCTCTGGCGGTTTTAAATGAATTGAGATGCGGGTAGGTGAAGAGGTTGCAAAGCCGCAGCTCTCCAAATATACATACTTCTGTTCCGGGTAAGGCTGGCGAGGCTACAAGGCTACAAGGCTGCGTGGTACCTCTTCTGGTCGATAAGAAAGGAAACAGACGGAGCTCTTGATTACTTAGGTTCCAAATCTGCATTCTACCCGTCTAAGCATGTAAAAGTACAGAGAAAATGTGAAACCGCCGATAATCCTCGTCGTGATCGAGTAACTACCAACAGTCCACATATCCATTTCTAACCAAGCCCACTTTGCACCGGACCGCATTCACTTTGACCCAAAACCACTCCCCTTCAATGGAAAGTTCCAAGTCTCGTTCACAATCAGCAGAGCCAGGCTAAAAAATTTGTTGGAAAGCGCATGGCGAATGTTGCACCATATAAAGGTGTATAATCGCTTCAATCTCGGGGCTGTTCGAACATTGGAGACTAGCATGCCATCATACCCACAATATACCTTGAGAGGTATTGATCGTGGGAGAATGTAGCGAGTTGGTAACGTAAAAATGGCCGATCGCCAGGAAGGTCGTGTATCCTGCTCGTACCCATCTACCTCATAACGACTGGAGTGGCTTGCCGTATAGTTCTTGTTTATTGGGCTAATCGCAGCTCTTGTCCTTGTGTTGGCAGCTTTCGTAGGAAAAGGTCCAAGAAGCAGGATTTCTGTAAAGTCGCCTTGTGCAAAATATCCGCAACATCCAGTTTGAAAGGGTTTCGAGGCGCAGGGTGACTTCGCACTTGTTCCTGAACTTTTTGCTCCAGAGTTTGGGTATCGACATTGCCATAGGGTGGGATATTTTGGCGTTCCTTGACAGACCAGGAATGCCAGCTTCACCTCACTCGCCCAGTGTTGAGCATTCTGCCCTGCATTTCTTCCTTGATGATTTCAGGATGTTTGTGGATACTCGGCATGAGACCCAATGCTATCGCCCTCCGAATGGCTTTCGCAATTTTTCGTTGGTTGACTGGTCGTAGTCCGGTCGAGTTCGAATGTCGAATCCGGCCCATCTCGGTCACATACTCAGACATCACGGAGAAGTTCTAGGGATGATTAGCATAGCGATACCACATCCTTGAGATCACAAGCTCACTTTGTACAAGGTAAGAGGGTTGACAGATAGTGCGTCAAAAGCGTCGGTCGTGGGTCGGTGCTTGACCCTCCACTTGCGAGCTTCAGCAGCACTCAGGTCGTGAGGTGCATACACATCGCCGGCTTTCCAAGGTCGCGTTAGCTGTCGGGCGATGGCTTGATTTTCTTGTGCTACTGCTGCTCTCCGTTCTGCTTCTCTGACCGTCATTCCGGCTGCGCGTTTGAAGGTCTCTGTACAGCGGGGGTTAACAAGGTCTCTCCATCAATAATAATCGAAAAGACGTACGGTCAAGAGGAGATGAGGCGATAGATTTGCTAGCGCGACCCAGCTGCAGCCCTAGGCTGTGACTGAGCTGAGCCGACATATTTCAATAGACCTGAGCTGTGGAAGCAACTGGAGCGAATGAACCTACTGAGGTCAGGATGGAGATGAAGGCATTGAAAGACTTGTACCAAGTATTTTCTGGAGGAACGAACACCAAAAGGAAGGTGCGCCGAATCTCCGCATTTCAATCGCAGTACGAGGCACATTATACAAGTATATGCAGAATCGTCTAATACATCATGCCACCACGATTTCTCTAGCTGAAATCAGCATTGTTCTCCCCTCCCCTCCTTTTCAGCCATGTTTCTCTCGCTCTTCGACAACTAAAACCCCATTGCAATTGGTGTTGGAAGTTCTTACCATGAAGTGCTCACATTTGACCCGGAGCGTCTTCCGTGCAATCATTGCCAACAAACCATATGCCATTCGAGACTGCCAGAGAGTGATCGGAAGGAGACCTGCCTATCAGTCACCCTGCACCACCTATCACTTCTACCAAAGACGACATCTCTTTGGACTCAACTTTGGAGGTGCTCGACAGGGCTTCGAGGGTGCTAAAAGCACTCCTGCCAATGTCGAACTTGCGCTGAGCAAGCTGGTTGATCTCATCAGGGCGCGAAGGAGCCAGTCTCGACTACCTCCGGATAACGAAGTTGTCGATGCTCTCAGATTCCTGTTTACCTCTAGAATCGAGTCCCCCCGACGCTTAACGAGAAATGAGGTCTTCCTGGCCACTGAGGCTTTCAAGCATTTACAAGAGCGTGGTCATATTTTCATGGAAGACACCAAGACGAGTCTATCAGAGGAAGATCTGGACAATATTTTGCTGGCATTAGCATCTGCAACAGGTCATGATAGGTTTCGAACCGATGCACGGATTCTAGCAACCTTGGTCTTCGACGCACTCAAGGATCGACCTGGGGCTGCAAATGATACCCACGTCCCCATCCAGCCCAGTGGACATCATCGGGCTCCAGGTTCGCTCCTGTTGACCTATATTACCGTGCTCTCCAGAACAGGCTCAGCCCAGGACGCTCTAGAACTCCTTCGCAAATCTCCCAACGCCTTAGATCGAGCCAGCTTACCTATGTGGACAACTGTTTTGAGAGGCCTCGCAAACGAAGGACGAATGTCAGAGTTCTGGAAGCTCATGCAGCAAGTGCAGAACACCGTCGGGCAACTGGATGCTGTCTCTCAAGAAATATTAGTCACTTATTTTGCACAGCATGATGAAATTTCTACTTTGAAAAAGGTCTTCTCTCTACCTTTAGCGGAAGGTCAGCTGCCAACAACACCGACATTAGTCAAGGTCGTGGACTGTGCGATGCAGAACGGGGAATTGGAATGGGGCGCAAAGGCAGTGCACCTGCTGCAACAGAGGACCGATGCAGGAGACATAGCAGGGACTTTACTGCTCTGGCACGCTACGCATGATCCCGATGTGAACCACATACGCCAGATGGTTCAACAGCTATCGGAGCGAGGGGTTACCGATGCAGTGTCAATGAAAAGCCTGAACCGTGTTATCGAGTATGCATATACGCAAAATAACCCGGAGACAGCCATGCGCTATCTGGAACTGGCCGAATCTCTTGGTCTACACCCGGACGCCAGGACTCGAGCTTTGCAGCTGAATTACGAAATGAAGCGCGGAGATCGTGCGGCTGCAGCCCTGGCTTACGAGCTTCTATCCAGAGAAGATATACCCGTCGACAGGTCGGATGTGCCAATTCTAAACCACTACATTGCCGCCTTGTCCTTCTCTGCAGATCCTGAATACATGCATCTGATGCAGGTGGTTGACCACCTACTTGAAAGTGGAGCGGAACTAGAGGCTGAAGCAATTGCGGGACTGTGCCACGTCTTCCTTCAAAAAGACGAATTGGAAGAAGCAACAGGTTTACTCCGCCACCGCGTCGACAGCTATCCCATGGACGACCGGGCTAGAATAGCTGCGGTCTTCCAACAATTCATCGTGGATCCGACGGTCAAGGACCAGCGCGCCTACAATGCCTACGAACTGTTCCGTCATGCGTTCCCCGAAGCCCCGGTACGAGACCGTATCACCCTGATGCAGTCGTTCTTTGATCGGAATCGTCCCGACCTGGCATGCCTGGTATTCGGCCATATGCGGCAGCGTGAAGATGTCGAAGCTCGGCCTACACCCGAGGCATATGCGAAATGCTTTGAGGGGATCGCCAAGTGTAAGGACATCGACGGGCTACAGATGGTCTACAATATGCTCAAACTAGACCTGGAAGTCGAACAGACGACGCGCATCCACAATGGGCTTATGGCAGCATACACGGAATGTCAACAACCATTTGTCGCGATTATCGATCATTTTTGGAAGATCATGGAGTCGCGCGAGGGACCCACGTTGAGCTCTTTTATCCTTGCTCTGCGAGCATGTGAGAGGTGGATACCACAGGGCGGTCACGAGGCGAGACGTATTATGGCACTGATGCAGAGTTTTAACCTCATCATCACAAAAGAAGTGTACGATGCGTACATTGGTGCCCTTGCTGGACAGTCCGAGTTCGAGAATGTCGTGGAATTGATTGAGCATATGGAGCAGGATACAGGCGAGCTGCCTGACGCTGTCACCATTGGCACATTCTACAACGCCATACCCTGGCAGTATCGCAAGGACGAGGTGGAGAAATGGGCGAAGAAGGCCTATCCAGAACTCTGGGCCGAGTTGGAAAGCTTTGGCGACATCATAGATGAGGAGTGGGAGATTAGGTACTTTAAGATTGACCGCTCGGTGGATATGGACGACGAACTCTTGTTTCAGAAGGGCGAGTATCATCCTGTCATTGCTCAAGAGAGTCAAGCGAGGTTGGAAACGCCCTGAAGTGAGACGTGTCCGGCGTTCAGCGGGTTGGATTTGATATGAGTGTGTTGGACGTTGTCTGTCTTGGACAGCGATCGTATAGCCCAATTTCTATTTGAGGCAGTCAATGGAGCATTGGCTTTAACAGGAGATTTGTTTGTGATTCGCTTTGTTGATCTGGTCTGTGTAATATGTTACCAAATACTCCATTGCCAACACCAATATTTCTGGCGAGGCCTTCTTCGAGCCCTGCCAACCTAGAATGGTCACCGCGGTACCCGTCGATTCAAGTGTGTCTTGACAACGCAAACGAAGCATCTCTCTTGAAGGCGGTCCCCATGATCATGGCCTTGTCTTGAGCAACGATCCTTCGCTCGAAGGCTTCTGCTCACTAGTCTCTGCCGGCGAGACGTCTTTCAACTGCGTGCTCGGATGCTTGTCCGCGTCTGTGGGCTTGATCAATTTGCCGAGACTGACCCATAGATCCGGGTAGTTTGCCTAGGAGTAAACAAAAAGTCGGTCTGGTCAGGTCTCCAGAAGCAAAAATACTGACGGCAAAGGAAAGTGGACGGGTGAGTGAGTAAGAACAGGGGGGAAGCCAACTCACCTCCGCCTCGGCCGTGACCTCCTTGTACTTTTTCCACAAGTCGTCCACCTTTTGATCCACGTCGATGTCTCCCTTACCACTCAACATCTCCGCGTCAACCTGCCACAGATCCTCGTATACTCCGCGCAGGCCATTCCTAAACTGTAATGCCCTGTTCGGTTGGTTTCTGCTCTTGAGAAATGTCAGGAAGCCTGCAATGACGGTGTTGATGGCTCCCAGGACGGTTATAGCGATTCTTGCCGCGTTTGAATCTTGTCAAATCGTTTATTAGTGTTTCTCGGTGGTATAATAGAGGACGAATACGGAGCCAAGACACGACTCGGGACTTTCAACGAAGAGCCAGACTTACTTGTCGTCCCAAGGGCGGTGACGGTGGCGCCAATACCGATTTGAAGCCAGAGCATGCCGTGCGAAACGCACATGGCGATGTAATAGAAACGGGTTTGATCCCTGTATGCTTTCTCGAGACGGTTTCGGAAGAGGAATTGGTCGGGTAGGTCGCCTTCGGGATTCGATACATTGTCAGCATTCTTCCATTTCAGATTGAGTCTCTGCTTAATTTGATAGCAGAAGTTGTTGATCCACGTCTGCGTCTTTACCGCTAGGTCTCTGTAAGGTGAAGGGCAGTGTGGGAGGAATCGCACCAGTTTCAGGCTTTATCCCCACCCGTTGACGGAATTCTGTTCGTTTATCCGAAATCCCACTTGACCGGCTTGAGCCAGGAGCGTTACCTCTGCTACCTGCGTGGTCATAGCTAGGCTGTGTCGAGGACTCAATCTGAGCTTGGGTGGCCGTTGCGATAGATTTCATATCTTCGACCAAAGGAGCACGACTGTCCTGGGACATGCTCGCTGGAAAGGATATGATTATGGCAAAGGTCAATAAATCTCACCGGCAACAAGTTATCTGCTTGAGGCTTTTATGAACATAGCTTGCCTCACGATGGAGGACATGCCTCTTCATAAATCACAGCTCCAGTTCCCGAAAGAAGGAAACGATTCAGCAGCAGCTGGCAATTTTGCCGAAGGGTGCAGCGCTTTCACGAGAGAGCATTGCATGGACGAAATCTGTATACATCATACGAGGTATATGTTCCAGAACGGTGCAGATAGTCCCAGTCTGCTATAAGCGAACACAATCAACCACTTGATCGATTGCTGAATATGAGAATAAAGGCTGACGAGGATGAAGCTGAGAGAAAATGATCTGGAAGCGCTTGTGAGAGGAGGGTGCCGACACAAGCGACAAGGTATGTTTTCCCGCCCAAGGACAGCTGTGTCGGACCTCGTCTGCTTCCCACTGATGGCTTTCCACGAGACCACGATCCTAAGGGAGGAAGGTGTGCGGACAACTCGCTGAGGCTGAGCCAGTCAAGGGAGGACCTACAATCAGTCTTTTCCTTGAGGATGGTTGTGTTTCAGCCAGCCTCTCCAACGGCTGAAGGTCTATGATGGTCCAGAAAGTCGGAGATACAGTGCTAATGTATGCAGGTTGTGTGCACGGGAGCGGAAGGTAGGACAGTGATGGGGGTGTTGTTTCAGCTCGTGAATAGCGTTCTCATTCAGCCGTAATGCTATGTTATGTTGTCGCCGTCTCTGGTTTGGATCAGCGCAGGCGGGGAAACATGAGCGCCAAGACGAGGTGAATTCACGCCCATCTCGCCCCGGTCGCGCGCGAGTCTGGGTGAGCCAGCACCTTTGTCACCCAGCCGACCCAGAGCACCTGTGGATGGAGGAGTCTATGTAAGTCTCTCACAAATTGAGTTGTACGCGGCGCGAAAGGGAGAGAGGGCATCCTAGGTGGGAGGATCTGGAACAATCTCCGCCATCGAGCTACCACTGATACAAAGGCTTGATCGAATGATGCAAAAAACTCATTCGGTACACCTTCCTTTAATCTCAATCCAGCTCGCGCGGGCGGGAGATCAATGCTTGTACCTCGTACATAATTAATCGACGTCCCAAGAAGTTGAGGTTCGTGCCCGAATCGCTGGGTGGATTGTTCTCCATTACAGGCCTAGCGCATTCTCTACCTGTTTATATAGAACTGTGATCACCCCGGCTAAATTCTGATCACCGTCATACGTAGCGACGCTCACCATCGTTAGAAAAATTGCGTCCATGACACGATGATACGCCGGGGCCATGTCAAGTCGAAGACGGGCTGCAAGACCTGTGTTGCCCGGAGAATTAAATGCGATGAACTCCGTCCCCGTTGGTAAGTCAATTCCCATAGCACAGAAAAGGCGTTGGGATGACCGGAAAACTTGTATAGTCACAACTGTATTCGAGCTAGCCGAGCGTGCATTTTCGGTCCAAGTGACCAGAGCTATCCTAGTACGCTTGAGAGAGGTGGGATTACGTTGGCGACAGACGAGTCTCATTCGTTCCTATCAGCCGTGCGCTTCTACGAATCTCCAACGTGGTTCTGTTTCCCTTCGAGGGGCTTACGATATCTGGACTACCTCTCACATCTAGTATCATTGCTGGAGATGAATCGTACTTCTGCACTTTCCTTGTGGTGGAGCGAGATACCCAGGTACGTTTGCAAGTGCTACCCGAGGATCAATGGCTCCCCATTGCTGAGCCGAACAGTCTTTTCAAGTTGGCATTTCGTTTCGATTTTGTTAGAAACGTCATAAGTGCCCACGTTGCAGGGAATCTTGCAATTTCATTGAATTCGTCCGCAATTCAAGAAGATGCCTTGTACTACCGGAGCCTGGCATGTCGGGGTCTTAACTATGCGATCAGCGAGTTCTCAAGGACCAACTGCGATGCTATCCTCGCAGCATCGATGATTCTTTCACTACAACAGGACAACTGGTGAGCGCGGGGAAGACCGTATCAGAATCGTCACCTTACTGAAATAGATGATAGGAAACATTGGAAGAAGTTGACCGAGGGTACTTCGGCGGTAAGATGTTGTAGGAACTCTTCGCCGCTGATGCTGTTCGTTAATTGCCCACACAGGTGATTTCAGCCATGGGTCCGTGGGTGAGGGATTCTGAGTTCTCTCCCTCCATCACGGATGATGCTTTCTCCTCCTTCTGGACACAAGACCAGCAATCAGCACGTCAATGCACTATTCAAGCAGGCTTGTATATTCCAAAGAGCCTGGATTGCTTGTCCTCATTGGGTATGGACTCTCTTGACCGGTTGTCCCACTGCGTCAAGCCAGAATATGAGCTAGCTACGATGCTCAGGCTACTCAAACGTGGTCTCCAAAATGTCCGAGACGGTGGAACCCTATTATCAGCCGACGCAAAATTCCGCACGATCCATGCTCTGAGGCTCGGCCGGATCCCTAACCACTTCGGGTCGCTGGCGACGGGCGATCCTGCTTATCTCATCGCCATTGCACATCTTTTCGCCGTTGCCGTTGCTATTTCCATGACCTTCTCGGCAACCGACCTCGAATTCTTCATTTTCATCCGGCTCAAGGCTGTTATGCAGATCCACCAGGCTCTTACACATGCACCTGTGTACCCGTGCCACTCTTGCGAGGCGCTTCATGATGCTACGAGAATGTTGGAATTTCCTTGGGAAGTAGTACGGACATACTGCCAGTACCGAAAACGAGACTGAGCGCAACTGCATGATATTCAGCCCTCTATTCTGAGGACGTTCCTCTGTGACAGTTTTCAAACTGAGGCTACTGCCACCCTGCTCGAATCACGTCCTCGACACTCATGGGATGGATGTGTGGAAAAGCATCATTCGCAACCATGGCTCCATGCGAGGGTGTGAAATCGAATCCACCGCTTTCCATTGCGATGCCGAAACCAGCAAACCTTTGCTGGAAGGCTCTCTTGGAGTCTTCAGATGAATAGTAATGGCGGTGAGATGGAAGTTCGGTGATATGTCCTCTCTTCAGCCGCTCCACAGGGTCGTACTCGACCGTGAATCTCGTTCCTCTGACCGCTTCGGCAATACGCAAAACTTGATTCAATGTTTTCCGATCACCCATTATCACGCTGCTCTTGCTCCATGTCCCGTCAGGAAGGGATAATGTGCCCACGACGAACTTGGCGACGTCACCAGAATAGGTGTATACGGTAGGCACGTCACCTGATCCAGGAATGCCGGCCATACTGTGTGCTATGTCAATAGCGAATACCCAAGGGTCTAGGTATGATTTGATTCGTGGCATGCCGAAGTAATCCGCAAAAATGCCATGGCTGAACAGTGTATACTCCAGACCGGTCTTGTCGAGCTCCATCACAGCAGCGAGCTTGTAATCGGCGTCCGAGGAGGTAGATTCTAGGTACCTAGGACATAAATAAAGTGGATTAGCACCCGCGCGCTCTACCTATAATACACTTATCGGCAACGAACTGTTTCTCCTTGCGCGGAAATCCAAATTCACTCGGCGTGAATCGCTTGACACAGGATGTCCTGGCGGCTCCGCGGATGAGGTTCAACTGCGCATCACTCTGCTCCTTGCTCTTGATCGAGAGCACCGATACAAGCGTGTGAATGTCATGTGCATCGAGTGCTTTGGAGATCGAGTCGATGCTGGTGTAATCAATAAACACGTGTCGTGGCTGGTCACTTTGCTGTTATGATCCCCAAGCGTCAGTCAAAAAACCGCAAGAGTTCGGAAACCTGTCGTTTTCTCGCCTTCTTACCGTTCTGGTCAGGATTATGTATGTGTGCTCATTGCTCGCCTCCAACGTCTCAACTATCATGCGACCGAGACCTCCGGTTCCGCCGGCAATGGCTACCTTCACCATGATGTGTGCTAGATTTTTGTTTTGAACAATGAGAAGCGAAGCACAGTCTGCGGGTCGCCCTACCGCATCTCTACGAGACTTTCAGTGTGGCATCGTAGACTGACCTTATATACCCTGGCCTGGCCTTCAAAGGCCAGGTCACTTTCAGCATAAGGTTTCATAATTCGTCCGTAGATCCCAAGAACCGTGTGTAGAGACGCAGCACATCAAAGAGGAGGATCGATCATGTTACAGTTTCCCTCCACCAAGCGGGGAGTTCAGTGGAGCCGTTGCTCGCTGGGCTGCTGGGGCAGGGCACGCTAAAGAAAACACGAGCACGCCAGACTGGTTTGGGTCTGACCTACCTCTCACTTATCCCCGTAGTTTCTCGTACGATATAATCGCTTCACCCGTATGCGCGTGGTAGACTTATCATCTCTAGATGAGGACTGGGTCTCGGGTCCCATACCACAACTTTTCCACATAGCGTAGTGAAGATGAACCATGAAAGGCAGTGGCACCCGAATCAGGCAGTCCTGAAGCCCCCAGAACCTATCTCCCGGGAGGTTACCCGTCGCGCTGAACCAGAACACTTTAATCCAATGAGAACTGATACGGAAGGCGTGGATGGGGGGCATCGAAGGCACGAGCGGCTTTCCCTGTAATATGATTCCCTCTTTCTTGCGGTTTCACGCACTGCCATGCGCCGCGGATGGGACTGGTCGTAGAGACCATCCTGACAATCACGGAGACGATTTTCGACGAAAGCATTCATTGATACAGGTCTGTCTGCCCGTCGGCTCTTGGTAGGAGGGGAGGAGCTCCGCCCAACTCGATCTCCAAGTTGTAGTGACGAAGAAGTTCGCCGGAAACGAAACAGACACATCAGCTCAAACAATGCGACTTGTTTTCTGTGGCATACGTTTTGCAAAGTGCATACGAGACTGACGTTTGTGACGAGAAGGAAACACGCACAGGTAAGAGCTCATCAGACCAGCTCTATTCCCTAACCAAAAACCTGACGCCCACAGGCTCTGGAATAGAGTGAGAATAGTGTCGACAAACCCTTGCTTACAGCCGGGTTGGTCGAAACGGGGTTGACCCGATGCATAGCCATTTTAGCCGCCAGCAGGGGAGGCGCCTCAACTCAACAACCTGCAACCTTCAAGTATTATTCCACATTCCTTCCTCCTTCTATCTATGATGGGGAAGCATTCGTGTCAAGGTCGGGGTCATCTGGAACATGTCGTCGACACGTGCGACTCTGGGAAGTGGCAATTGTCTTCAAGTTCTAGGAGTCAGCTGTCAGAACGTTGAGTTTCGCTAAGGCAGCTACTCGAGGATTGGCGCAATTTTCGTGTTCAAACCACTGGTTTGCTTCATGTTGCTGCGCATAGACGCCGAGTTACAAACCGCCCCTCGGTTGGGACTTACTATATGCATCAGAGTGCCACAACCCGGTACGAGGCCATTTTGACCCTCAAAAGGCCTCCAAGCCGAGCGTCAGACCAGTATCGCGGTTCTCGAGCCGCAAAGATCATTGAAATGAGGGCATATATCGCCGGTAACGAGCATCGGCTCTATCTACCTCACATCGTCTTCTGTCGGCTGGATCTCTGCTCACGCCTTCCAAAGGCCGGATACCTTGGGTGACCATGCACGTTCCATCAGATACATCTGACGACCTCGACGAATTCAACAACCTGAGTCTTGACTTTGAGGATACGAGAGATCGATTGATAATTGCGCTTGACTTTGGGACCACGTATAGCGGGTAAGTATAAAAGGCACGGCGGCGTACTATTCTGAGCTAAAGTATTCCTTCTGGCGACTAGAATCTCTTATGCCTTCACTACCGATCCTGAAAAGGTATTTACAGTCGACTCCTGGCCAGGCGGTGACAGGATTGCTCCAAAGACACCGACTCCCCTTCAGTATGAACCAGGTTCAGATACAAACTTCAAATGGGGCTACGAGCTTGACCACCGGCAAGGGGAGAAGATCGAGTGCATCAAACTGATGCTCGACCCCGATCAGCCAAGGCCATACTTCATCCCCGTAGATGTCCAGGCCGAAATTGCAAAACTCCCAAAGCCTGTTGTCGAAGTGGCGAGTGACTACATCCGTGCGATCTTCGAGCATGCTGTCAAAGAAATCGAGTGCACATTCCTGGATCGAGAATTCATCGACAACTACGATAAACAATATGTCCTTACAGTCCCAGCGGTGTGGTCTGACAAGGCGAAATATTTGACCTCGAAGGTCCGTGGACGGTAGGACACACCTATACTGATCGGCACTAACGAGAGACTAGGCTGCTCGAGATGCTGGCATCTCACCTGTACACATGGTAACGGAGCCGGAAGCAGGAGCTTTGTTTACGTTGAATCAAATCAAGAACCAAGGGCTCAAGGTAAGGGGAGGCTGGTCGCCCCATTTCATTGTGCTCACCACTGCTCAGGTTCATGATGCAGTTGTCATTTGTGATGCTGGCGGTGGAACTGTTGACCTGATCTCGTACGAGATCCTCAACTTCGCGCCCTTTGAACTGAAAGCTATCACCAAACCATCTGGTATGCTCGTGGCCTCTGGTCTTCCCCTTCACCTCTTTGGTGAATCACAGGAGCCAGACTTCTAAGCCTGTCTCTTAGGTAGTGTCGCTGGCAGTACCGTGATCAATCAGCTGCTCGAACAAGAAATTCGACAAGTGGTTGGAGATAAAGCCTTCGTCTCGTTGAAAAAGACTGAAGCATACCGGAGCGCTCTGAAAGAATTCGATGTGGCCATCAAAGTCGGCTTTGGTGGCAGGGATGACAAGAACAAGTATCTAAGCTTTCCAAGGGCAAAGCTCAAAGACAATCCCGGAAAGGGTTTGGTCAGGGATTCGATGACACTGTCCGCGTGAGTATTGGCTGGGCGAGGAAGGCAAACTTGCTGGCTGACTCTGACAGAGGCACCATGTTGCGGCTCTTCGATCCCGTTATCCGTGAGGTGAATCGCTTGATCGCCGAGCAGGTTAATGCGGTCAAGATTGAGCGTTTACAAGCCAGTCCACCCAATCCACATGGCGTCAAGGTCGGTAACTTTCCCAACTTCTTCTACTACACCAGTTGATGAACCGTCCAGGCGATTTTCCTCATTGGCGGATTTGGAGCAAGCGCCTATTTGAAGGAAGCGGTGCGAGATTCGAACCCTGGGATCACGGTAATTCAGCCAAAGGATGCGTAGGACTCCCTGCCACAACCTTGATCATGTGCCTATCTAACCATATGCCCAGGTGGTCTTCGATTTCTAGGTGCCCAGGAAGCCTTTCCATTAGAGGTCGACACTTCTAACCGACATTAGAGGCGCGGTTTTGAGTCAATTGACAACATTGGCGCCCAAGGTGGTTGCGACGAAAGCCGCGAAACATTATGGCACAATGGCCTACAGTCTCTGGGACCCCATCAGAGACAGAGGTTTCGCCAAGCATTGGAATGAATGGTCAGAGAAGGAGGAATGCGACACCATGCATTGGTTCATATACATGGTACGTTGTGGACGCCTCTCGACTCAAATCCTCCCGATGCGCCACGAAAGGATTATTGAAGAAGCATTATATGAACAGGATGACGACCTACGACGCGGTGGAAAAACAAAACTCGCCTTTGTTCGACTTTTTGCAGGCCACCGTCCCCGTGGATCGTTACTCAGAGTTCGAAATGAACTCTATGAGTCTACTTCACCAACGCCGCCAAAGCATCCCGTGAGCAGTGAGTCCAGTGTCTTGGTCCGACATCACTTATTGTACATGTATTCTGACATACCTGTATGCAGTTACCCTCAATTGTGTGCTCGAGACGGATTTGCGCGTGGTGCCCAAGAGACTGTTCAAGAAAAAGTATCGACGTTCTGACGGAGAGCCTTACTGCCGGCTGTCATACGAGCTGCAGGTGGAGAATACCGAGTCCGGACTGATGAAGTATTCGCTATTGATCGAGGGCAAAGAGTATTCTGCTGTAGAAGCCATATATTGAGGCGGTTTCCATGTGCCTTTGTTCTTGCACAGATCAGTGTGCTGCCGAGTGGCTCCCATGCCTGGGGTCCGGACCGAGTCTTGCCATCCTCGTCGCTATGTACCACCTTGCTTTGTCATCGGTTTTCCCATCTGGATAGTCCAACTATAAGGATGTTGTGTTTACGGCGTTCCACGGCATCGTTCATGGACAGATGTATGGTGGTCACTCGGCAAAATAGCAACTATGACGATGGAGGGATACTTTCTTTAGATATCATCAATGAGTTCACTCTCTGCCCATTTCTTCGACGATATGCTCAGTGTGATGACCTGGTTGTGTGGTACGATGCAGAGACGCTTGACCGTGCGTCGCCGTGCTCCGACCTGATTCCATGGCCGCAGCGGAAAAGGAATTGCACAGACTGACCCCGCATGCCTTGGCCAGCATTTTACGTGAAGAGGATCGTCATTTGTGTCCGTGGATGGAGGAAAGTGGTTTAAGCATGACGCACGGACCATGCCAATGTCTGCATGCAGCAACCATTTGTGGTTAATGGGCCTCTCCACTCCCCACCCTGTCCTCTCTGTGGGTGAATGATAGGTCGATCTCTCGGCTTTGACGTGGCGCAGATCTGGAGAGAAGCGTCGCAAGGCTTGGTGCTGAACTGATCGGGAGTGTCTGTACCCACGCAACCCTTGAGGCCTGAGATCGATAGGCTTTGCTGTCTCTGAAAGGAAGGAAGAAACGAACAGACACGTCCGTGGTCGAGGGTATAAGAATGGTGCCATATGCTCACGGCAACCCTGCGAGGACCGTGGTTCTTCGCCTTCCTCACCATCCCAAGACTTTGTTTTAGTTCTTTGAGTCGCACCTCGATTACCTGCCAGTATGTCTCTCTCTGGCAAAACGACACTCATCACTGGAGGCGGCAAGAATCTCGGAGCATTGATTGCTACGCTCTTCGCCGCCGAAGGATCGAATCTGGCGCTGCACTACAATTCCGCCTCAACACAAAAAGCGGCCGAAACACTTGCCGCTGACCTCTCGTCCAAGCACAAAGACATCAAGGTCAAGATCTACCAAGGGGACCTTACCACTGCGACAAGCGTGGAGAAGCTATTCAAGAGTGTTGCGGCAGACTTTGGCCCTCAGCTCGACATTGTGATCAACACGGTGGGCATGGTTCTCAAGAAACCATTGGTCGAGATATCCGAGAAGGAGTATGACACCATGTTCGCCATCAATTCCAAAGCGGCCTTTTTCATCACCCAGGAAGCGGCCAAACGGGTCAGCGACGGCGGCAAGATCATCAATACCGTGACGAGCCTCCTTGCGGCGTACGCTCCGTCTTACACTTCCTACCAGGGGAGCAAGAGTCCGGTCGAGTGGTTCACCAAGGGCTTGAGCAAGGAGCTGATGCCAAGGGGGATCAGTGTCAATGCTGTTGCCCCAGGGCCCATGGTATGTATACGGGCATCGTGTGCTGTGAATCCCGCCGACCAAATAGAGGCTAACAAGGCAATGAATTAGGATACGCGTAAGTTGCAGTCCCCAGCCTTACCGGAGGGCTGATATCTCATCCGCGCCCAATCAACCAAGAGATGAATCCATGAGAACTCAAATGATCTCATTGTACATACGGAGGTCCGACTAACTTTGGGACAGCATTCTTCTACGGCCAAGAGAGCCCGGAGGCAGTCGCCTTTCACAAGTCAAATGCCATTGGCGGCCGGCTCACGGACATCAAAGACATTGCTCCCATATACAAGTTCTTGTGCACTGAAGGGGCCTGGATCAATGGTAGGTGGAACATGTTCCGCATCCCCGGGCTTTGGATATGGACGGCAAGAAGTGATCGGATCTGTGGACGGAAGCACATATGTCCACCTGAAGCTTGTATGACGCGATGGCAGATGCTGACATGGTGCCAATCCAAACAGGCCAGACAATCTTTGCCAATGGAGGATATACGAGTCGTTAGAACAGCAGAGCGCAGCTGCGAATAAGTGTGCGGTACGGGGTGAATATTCTCTGGCGGAGGGGAGTTGCTCCCTTAAAGGTGACGGGCTGGACAGTCCTGATTGGAGCACCTCGGAGTACGAGGTAGTCTGTAAGTTGAATGAGGGACCAAACAAAAGCAGGGAAAAGGCAATAAAGAACAAGGAAGGGATATGCTTGATATGCTTCGTTGATAGGGATGGCGGAGGTTGCCATCTGGGCACCGCTAAGCCATATTCGTACGGACGAGGCCCAAAGCAGTAAGAAGCTAGATCAGCGTGGCCCGTCACTTTCTTTTCCTTCTTCTCATCTCACCGGATAATACCTAGGTACTTTTGAGACCATGTCTTCTGCGTCTCGCCTGTTTCTCCTAATCCGGCAAAGGAAAACATGGTGCGACCCCTGCTCACATTTATCGATGCTGGGCCCCTAGAGGAGGCCCAAGCGCAGCGAATGCGCCGGGAGATCAGGTCGCACGTCGCCCGAGTTGTCGTGTCCCGCCATCAGTCTTGCCGCTCGACTCAACGGCCACCGCACAAAAAGCGCCGCGGCGAGCTGAATCCTACATGGGATCTTTGTCTCGACTCGCTCGTCGACCCCTCAGCCAGCCAGAAAGAAGAAAGCGAGGAACAATCCGAAGACAGGGTGCCGTCTCCTCCACCTGTCCCCGCGACAGCGAGCAATGACCGACGACTCCTGGCTGGACCATCTGCAGCGAGCATGATTCCGGCTTCAAAGAGTCCAATCTACCATCATCCTCTTGTTTCCGTAGTGTTGGATAATTGTAGGTTGCAGCTGATCACCTGTCCTTCCTCCTGTACTCACAGCTTTCGCTTTCTGCCATGATCTGTGTGTGCTGATTAGATCCTCCCCCTAGACCTGAAGCATCTGGCCGTGGCCGTGCCCGAGCTAGATGGAGACAGTCGGTCTGTTCTCCTGCAGACCTCGTGGTTCCCCATGGTGCTCAGCTCACCGATCATCTTCCAAGTCATCGTCTTGTTCTCGGCGTCTCATTATGCGGCGAGGCAGCATGACATGACTCTGGCCGAGACGATCCTGTTCCTGAAACAATGCGCCATTTCCGGCATCGCGCAGGCCCTGTCTCCGGCCTCGAAGAAGGGCATGGTCTATCGAGACGAGATCATCGCCGCTGTCGCCAAGATGGCCAGCTACGAAGCCATCTTCGGGGACGAGGGCGCATATCACTGCCACATGGACGCCGTGAAACGCATGTTGGAAGAAAGAGGCGGACTGGCCGCTCTGGGCCTGGAAGGGTTCCTGTCGCGGCTCCTGGTGTTTATTGATACCAACTCGGCATTCCTCCTCAACGCCCCGTTACATCTCAACGGTTCGTCTCTGCCTAAATTGGCCAATCAATTTATCATGCCGAATCCCAGTCGTTTTGTCGGCGAGGTATAAAGGGGGGACCGATGTCGGTGGAAGGAATGTATGTAGGATATACGGGAGTTTCGGATCAGTCGAGGGATACCGGTAAAAGTTGCCTAGGTGGTCATCTTGGTGTTGGCGAGTGCTGGCTTATTGCTCAATAGAGGGGTTGCAGCGCCTATCAGGCCCAGACTGTTAATCGATAAGCCCAAATGGAGCCTAATGGGGCCCAATGGAGCCCACCAACCTTTGCCCACTGCATCCGCTTCGTCCACCTCGTCCACCTTCGTTACCCCACCTGCGCCCTGGTAAGCTTCTTACATTGACACCACCACCAACACCTGGTGACATCCCACCTCCGAGGTTTGTCACCGCCGAAAATTAACGAATCGTCTGACATCTTGACCTCTCATTGTTACAGCCAGTTTCATGCTCAATGGTTCCTGTCAGACATGTCTCCCCCTCCCCCTCGTTCGACATCCGAATGATCACGCGGACCTGATCGGAACAAGTTCAGGTGACAAATGTGTACGGGGTACCAGTAACGAACCGTGGGCGAGAACGCGGATACACGAAGAAGGCTGATGGATGATCGACTTTACCGCATGTTCCTCGACTCCCGCCTTCAATTTCAACTTCCACCCTCACTCCCTCTCTCTCCTTTCATCGTGGTGGCTGGTCCACAAGATCTCGTCATTCAACCGGACACTGACTGGACGGTGTTGTTTGCTTCAACACTCGACACCGCATCTCCCAACTGACGCCAGGCATCCCATGTCATAACCCTCCGGTTCAGGCCAATTCCATTACTGATCCACATCCGCGAACCCGTCCCTGCGTGTGACCAAGAGGAGTTATGAACGACCACACCTGCTCGATTTGCTGAACTGCTGCGTCTTCCCTCCGGACTCCTAATAATCTGCCCAAGCTGTCCACGTCCTGCTCCAATTCAAGCAACGATGTCTTTCCTCCGCAAGACCTCCGATCCTCCAGCATTCTTTCCCATCTTCCCTACATATCTTCTCCCCTCGATCCCGTTTCGCCGCAAGTCGCGTCAGTCGAGCACCGACAGCAGCAGTTCAACGGACACACCTGCGTCCGCCGCCTCGGCCGCTTCGAACCCCTTCACCAGAAGCCCTACCCCGACCCCAATTCCCGTCTCATCCACTTCATCTACTATGGCTCCGCCGGAGGGCAAGTTCCTCAATGGCCACAGCTCCCACATTCAATGCGCAAAATGCTCCACTGATCTGTGCCTGACTTCGCAGATCATCAGCAAGGGCTTTATGGGCAGACATGGTCGAGCGTATCTGGTTCAAGGGACAACCAGCCACATCCATACCATAGCCCCTTCCTTGCCTAATACTTTTCAGAACAAGAACATCTCGCGAAACCTCGTGACGGGGCAGCACATTGTCAGCGATATTAGCTGCGCAATCTGCGACAGCATACTCGGATGGAAATACGTTGAAGCCAGTGAAGAGAGCCAAAAGTACAAGGTTGGCAAGTTTATCCTCGAGACCAAACGCATTCGCATCAACGTTTCGTGGGAGCATGAGGGGGATGACACCAGTCCCTACGCATACGATGAAGTCCTACCCCTGCCTCCAAGAGACCTGAGAAAGATGGTCGATGGAGCTGGCGATCCGAGCGATGAGCTCGAATTTGACTCGCAAGACGAGGATGAATGTGAGGACCTCTTTGCCGGAGTATGGAGCCCGCAACTTGCTGCTAAGAGGCGGCAGAGGAAACGGGAGCGGTTTGGCAGGCGTCCCGCTGGCAGCTTGATCACCTTTGGAGCTGCGAGCAGTACCGATACTCTATCATGACCCCTACGACATTACGCATGCTATGCCTACCCCAAGTTCGAGCACGACTTCCAATGATTACCGGAAGGCCGACCCTGCTTGAGACGGTGTAGTCGCTTCTACGGAAATGGCACAATGTGCCTGCGGCCGATCCGGAACGATCATCAGCCGCCGGCTTCTGGCTTAGTCTGGACTCCTACCATCTAGCACTCACAACCTGTGCATGCCATTTACGCAAACCGCCTGTCCAAAGCTGCTTATGATGCCGCCGAAGACCTTTGCTACCGCTTTCTCGGGCTGGCATTTATGACTCTTTTATTTCTAAGTACCAGAATACCCCTTCATCGCAATAATGCCCTGTTTGATTTCAACACGTTCATGATACCCACCACAGAAGGTCAGTTTATACCAGGGCATTCCGGAGGAATGAAACAGCGTTTGGCCAAGTTACAGCTCGTTACTTACGAGCACCGGTGGCGAAGTTCTGGTTATTTTTTGTTTTGTAATGCAGGAAGGAAAGCTTGAGATCTATCGGAGCGAACCCTCGGGGAGGACGGACGTCTCAATGCATAATGGCGACGATGGGGCTGATGATCATCATCATTCACAACCCGACAGGATGAGATGGCTTGAGAAACAGCTCTTGGGATATCTAGTAATAGTATAGTATAGCCGACCCACTCGACAAGTACCTAATCAATCAATTAATCACCTCCATACCTACCTAGCTCGCTAGGCATCTACCGAATCACCCATATGTCTCTATACAATATATTACATTATGTATTATGTGTCTACCTGTCTACACAGAGACTGTAGGCTGTCGTGTGGCCTCTGGGGTCGTGATGGGCGGGGAGGTCGTCTCCTGACTAGATACGAAGCGAGGTGATGTGATATACATAACAATGTGATATGTGGTGCTGGGTGTATGGTATGTGATATGTGATATGTGACGCGAGATATGAGATGTACATGTGGTACCCCCGATGTATGGTATGAATTTGTGGCATATAGTATATTGTATAGCCATGCATGCGTCGACAGTCGCATTGTAAGCCCCTATATATATGATAGCTAGATATGTAGCTCCGGAGACATCGGTCCGACTATCTCTATTTCAGAATGTCCAACTTCCCACTCTGCGAATGGTGCGCATAGTCCTGGGTAAGTCTTTGCCACCCACACACACACACACACACACACAAACATACACACACACATTGTAACAACCCCTGTAGAGGTTTGAGGCGAAAGATGGTTGTCAGATATCGAACCGCGATCATTAAGCAGTAAAGCATGCGACTGGTGAGCGTGACGGTACTACATTTGTAGGAGGAATGGTTT